TGTGGGTGTGGGTGTGGATGTGGGTGTGGATGTGGGTGTGGGTGTGGGTGTGGGTGCAGATGAAAAAAACACTTACACCCACTCCCACTTTCTAAGGATAATTTATTAATTGATTTTATATTTCAAAAGAAAATTATTTATTATTAATATTAGGAAAAAAAGAAAAATTTGTTCTCACTCGACTTCATACTTCAACTGTAATGATAAGCAGTGAACTACTATGACTTAATTTCTCATTGAAATTTAATGATAAATAAAATTTTTTTTTTCTTAAGTTGCATGAAATTCTACGCTTGATTATTTTCAATGGCAGATCGCTCCAACTGATGGACAGTTTCTCAGTCCGTATTTCGTCAAATAGTATCACACTACGTATTCTACATTTTATGAAAAATATCCTCTCCCAGTTGAAGTTTTAATCGATACATGAGGTCAGAAGTTGTCGATTAACTAGAGCAATCCCTTTCTATGTTTCTATTCAATCGTATGACATTTCTCTCAATGCTTCTTTAGAAGACTTGTCTTAGATGTCAAATTTTCTTGTTTTTTCTACTTACTTAGATTTTTTTATCATTAATCGATCGATCAAGAATACGAAAAATCAGTTCATAATATTCTAATAAAATAGTTGAATCTTTTTCTGATGTAGTACATTTGCTAATTCAGCAAATCGCCTTAGAGCACCTAATTGAAATTAAAAAAAAAACAAACATTATTATCAGTTTAAGTGAAATAATAAAAATAACCTTTTAAGGCTTTTGGTCCAATATTAGGATAATGTTTTAAAATTCCATTTTATAATTCATACAAAATTATCCACAAAAACCAAATTTCTTTTATAATCCTTTAACAAGTTGATTAAGATTTTCTTCGACAGTGAATCGTACATCATAATCATTTTCATCACATGTTGTAAATAATGTTTCCACACTAGTTGTAACTAATTTAAAATAATTTTCATTGTTACCTCTAAATGACAAAAACATTCTAGAAAAGATGAGAAACAGAAAAAAATCCAATTATTTACTTGATTATTAATGTTTCTAATGTTGTTGTTGAAAGTAATTTTAAAATTTCACGTGATTTACTTAGTTTATTCATTTTGTTTAATTTATATTCAATTCACTTATTATAATATCACGTAAATAAATGAATAAGTTTAAACATTTTTTGATAATCATAATGAATGAATGAATACCCATGTGGTCAAAAGCAGTAAAAAACCGCCGGTTAACCGGTGGTATACCGATACTATAACTGTGCGGAATACCGCCGGTTTTTTCCGGTTACCGCCGGTTAACCGCGGTTATCCGGTAGTTCCTTCACTTAATCCGATTTCTAATATTGGCTGTCTGATTCCTTAATTCTTTCGTAGCACAATTAGTTCTTTTGCAATATTTGATTATTTTTTTGCACTTTATTTTTAAAAAAATTAAAAAAAATACTAAACAAACAATATTAGCCTACAGACATAACAAAAAGAGCTCATATTTGATCGGAAAATCTAGTAAGTCGTGGTATCTGGTAAAAATACTTGATAGCTAGGAATTCAAAACTATTGAATTCTATTAATAGGAATCAACAAATTATATGGATTTCTGTTGAACATTTCGTGAATGGTTTTTATTGCCCATGTGAAAAAAAAGACTGGAAAAATGAGATTATTAATCGATTATAATGGCACTATTAAAACCTGATTTTAATCAGATTTTCCTATATAACAAAATTAAAATTCTCGGATTTTGATTTTTTCTTAATCTTTTTTAACTGTTTTTTTTAAAATTCATTGTAATCGATTATGAAAAAATCAAAATCTGAACATTTTGATTTTTTTATATAGAAATATCCAATTAAAATCAAGTTATAATAGTGCCATTATGATTGATTGATAATCTGATTTTCCTAAATATTTTTACATGAGCATTTACATATGCTTTTTATTTAATTTAGTCTTTCTGTTTTTTAAGAGAAAATTGAAATAAGTACATTAAGTTACTATCAGAATTTCTTTACTTATTCAAAAGTTAGAATAAAATTTGTAAATCGAAACTTCTTCCTAAATTATAAGTTGTCACTGTTAGATAGATCAATATGAATAGTAATATGAACCACTTTGATTTAACATTGGATGCTTCTTCAGGAATCCAACTTTTAATTTTAAAACACAAGAAAAAAATCTAAATACTTAAGTTAAATTATCTCGAGGTTCGAAGATGATATATTTTAAATTGTTTTTGCGTGATTCAGAATTATACTACATTCTTGAAGAAACACCAGATATTGAATCAAAATGATTCATATTACTATTCATATTGATCTTTCTTCCAATGACAACTTATAATTTAGGAAAAAGTTTCGATTTGAAAATTTTATTCTAACTTCCAACACGAAAAACCAAAATATTTTAGGGACCGCAAAAGAGCACTATCCATCCTCCTGTTTAGAATGAAGGTGGTGTTCCGAAAACACATCAAGTTTACTACCTGAATGACCTCATTAGGGTTATAAGTCTTATATAGATGTATGTACCGAAATCTCTTCTATGTTATAGAGAAAGCCGCACTTCGATATCATTTCGCGTTCACAAGTTATTGAAAAATTAAGATACTAAAAAAAGTGTCCTCTATTCAGGACGCTGGTACTTAAAGGATTAGAATACATATACTGACACCTATTCAGTACAGATTATGGTAGTTCGCTACTAGTTACGTCGGTTCTACGCAGCTACAGCTATCTATTATTTTGTTGAGGCTAATTTCATTCAGTTATAACTTTGGCTTGGCTTTTAGTGTGATTTTTAAAATGATATATTGGGGGTCTATCACAAACTTAGCAGATTTACTACCTTATTGACTTTATTAGTGTTATGATTCTTACTTGGATATATGTATCGAAGTGTCTTCTATATCATAGCGAAAACCGCACCTCGATATCGTTTCGCGCTCGCGAGGTATTCAAAAATTAAGATGCTTAAAAAAGTGTCCTGAATTCAGGATGCTGGTCCTTAAAGGGTTACATAAAAAAACATCCATGAGAATGATAAAAACCATTTACGAAAAATTCAGTAGAAATCCATATAATTGGTTGATTCCTACTATTGGAATTTAATAATTTCGAATTATTCCTAGCTATCAAGTATTTTTTCTAGATAATACGACTTACTAGATTTTCCTACAAAAAATTAATAAATGTTGACACACATTGATCAGTTGAACATTACGTGTATCCATCAATAGATTATTAATTCAAAACTTGATGTATGATAGCGTTCAATAAAAAAATATTATAACCAGCCTAAAAAAACTCACAAAAAAAAATAAGCATGGATGCTTAGTTCGATCCTTAAAAAAAACATCCTTTGGATCTCATTCTCTTAAAGAAGTTATAAAAAATTACCCGATGATCGTTAAATTTGAAATTTATTTAAAAAAATTGATTTTATATATTTCACACGAAATATTTTTCGCAGTGAAATTTGTGTATCCCCTTAAGCCGTGTTATTTTTCATATTGTCTCATCATATGCACACACTATGAAAAGAAAAAAACCAGTTGAAGTTTTCATCTTCGGTGCAAGATGTGAAAATAATAATTCACAAAAAAGTAAACGTTCATTCTGGAGTTTATTAACATTCTATAGTATACATTATGCGGAATAATCGAAATAATCTTCTAGTTTATGTGACAAGAAGTTACAAAACGAAAAAGAATAACGATTGATCACAGAGCCATTATCGAGTGTTTTTATGAATGATAAAATTTTACAGCGCCATCTGTCAAATTCTACAATTTAGGTATTTTAAGGATGTATGGGGTTGTCTGATAGTTTCTTTATCAAGAAAAAAATGCATCTTTATCAGAACAAAATATTATACCTATATTTTTATTGAAAATTTTTTAAAGTGAAAAAACCGTCAGAGACCGTCGGTTAACCGCGGTTTACCGCCGGTATCTATAAAAAAGTGACGGCATGGGTCATGTTCATATTTATATTACATTAAGTTGAAAGCCAATGCCATCTCTTGCTTTTTTTTCTCCATAAAGAAGATTGAATGCATTTTCATGGAATGGCGGTTTCGTGAATGTATCTTATCTCCACCCTTTATATCGACATAATTTATTTTTTGTTTGTATTTTACTCTAAAAAATAATAATTATTTTTGTAGATTTGACAAAAAATTAAAACAGTTATTTATAATAATGGCAACATTAACATCAAAGAATAATTCAAAATTATTTATTGCTATTGAAGAACGTTCACGAGATAGACCTATTAATAAGGATTTTGAATATCCATTATTTTGTATCTTTCGTATATCAACAACTGATCCAAAACCAGATGATGAAATACTAGTTTATGAACGTAAAATATTAATCCAAGTCAATGCTTTAGAACATGGTCTTCAACTTAGGGGTGGGAAGTTACCGTTCCCGGACCGTTACCAGGGAACGGTAATGGTAACGGTAACTTCCCACCCCTACTTCAACTTCACCTATCCACATTGGCTACAACAACTTATGGTTATCGTCTCTCGACAGAAGCTACTGATAACAATCAAACCAAATTTACGTCTCTTGCTTCTATTGCTTTATCATCTGTTAGAATGATAAAGGTGAACAACCCACGTCACCTAAACACAATCATCCTCAAAATTAAAGATTAATTCTCATATTTTTATATAAAAAATCAGATTTTTTAAAAAGATGATTTTATTATGAAATTTTAAAGATAAATAAAAAGAGAAGAATTTAACATTTTGATATTCCACATAAGGCATAACACTACTAATTAATCTATGTATAATGATAATTGTAGCTTATCAAAATTGCATGTAATTGATTGAAAATATTTCGATTTGGATAAGTATAATAACCAAGAATAGGATCCAATAAAAGATTAAAACCATTCATAGTTAATTTCAATCTTATTTCACAATAACAATCAGAACAATGACATTAGGAATATTTTAGACATTTAAAATTTTCTTAAGAACGTTGTCCATCATGTTCACATACATTTTCACCAGAACAATTACATTTGAATTATGAACAAAATTTAAACAATTTGTTATACATTGTTGACAGAAAGATAATAATGATTTATTTGTTTGATATGGTAAGTCATATTAATATTTTTTTTACGTTGAACAAGATGATATTTCAAAAAATGTATTGTTATTGTTGAACATACACATGAAAGCATTTGATGATGTTCAACATAGAGTTTATTAAATATATCAAGTGTTCTATTAGATATGACGACTGTTGTTCATTTTTTTTTATTAAATTTCTATTTTGCTATTGAAACTTCCATAGACAGTTGAAGTATTTTGCTCTCAAAGTAAAATAATTATTATCAATGCATAACAAGAATCGATTAATAAAAAAGTTGAGCGAACAAAATAGTTAATGGAATCGAGAGTATCACATGAACGATTCAATATTTATTCGTATAAGTCGATACAAGACGGATACAGCTGCAATGTGACTAACATATTACTTTTTCAAGTAAAAGCTTTTCTTCTGATATTTTCTGCATTTATCATGATTAACATAGATTTAAAGAGAAAATTGCGTTGTTTGATAAAATATCTTTCTCATATTTACAAGTAAGGTTCACCGACATTGAAAGTCGATTCACTGGGCCCTAGACTGACGGAATGATGACGCAGATGTCCTTATGTTTTTTAATAAAAATGAATTCTGTTCAATGATGAGTTTAGGGCAAATCATTGATATTTGCAAAATGTTGTATATTACATACTAAAGATATATTCAAACAGTTGACATAAAATATTCCAAGATAACAATGTATATGATAAAGCATATGAGTCAGTTGATTCTAAGGACTAGCAATGGTTATTTATCCCATAGCACTGGTCATTTCTAATACGAATCTTGCTAGTGGTGACACAGACACTCTCATTCCGCAGATAACAATGATCAACTGTGCCATAGAAATGGTTGATTGCACCGTAGAAACTGAGTTGATCCACAAGAACGGTCAATTATGCCAAAATAAATGGTCAATTTTACCACGACTCACGATACTTTGCACTATAGCAACAGTCACTTCTACCACGATTATGCTACTTTGTACTATCACAACGGTCACTTACACCATAAAAACGGTCATTTGTACCACGACCCATGGTACTTTGTACCATGACAACGGTCAACTGTGCCATGAAAATGATACTTTGCACCATCACAATCGTCACTTGTACCACGACTCTGGTACTTTGTACCATGACAACAGCAACGTCTGCCGCGACTAATGGTACTTTCTACCATGACAATGGTCACTCGTACCACAACTATGGTATTTTTTACCTTGACAACGTCACTTGTACCACGATTATAGCACTTTGTATCACAAGAATGCTCATTTCTACCACGAAAATGACCATTTGTGCCATAAAAATGGTGATTTACGCCATAAAAATGGTGATTTACGCCATAAACATGGTAATTTGCGCCATAAACATGGTAGTTTGCGCCATAAAAATGGTCGTTTGTGCCATGAAAATGGTCATTTGTGCCATGGAAATGGTCATTTGTAGCCGATTTATTGAAAATTATTTTGGTTCTTTCACCTTGTTCCCGATATTCAGATGGAATGAATAATTGAATATCGGGTGGTAAAAGATAAGGATGTTTTCGTAATTTAATAATTAAACGACGACGATATTCTTGTATAAATGGACACTTGTAGTCCATGGAGATATGGTCTCCTTTACAATGATGACACTTGATTTTACATTCTTTGTGATTATCATTATTGTTCCGGTCATCACCGCATCTTCTACATATATCAAAACTTGAACTTTTACAAATATTTTTTACATGATCAGGTTGATTACATTTAGAGCATATTAGGAGTTTCGGTGATGGTAAGAATTCATCTATATCATATAATTGTCCAAAAATAGATATTTTACCACTATTTATCATAGTATTATATTCTTTTTTTATCTAATAATTCAATTCTAAGATGTCGATTTCGATCATTTATTGTTCTCATAATTTCTTCTATCAAAAATAATGAATTGTATTTAGCTTTTAATTCATCTTTTAGATCGTCGAAGGAAATGGAGTTTTTCACCCATTTCAATATTGCTGTGTGTTGATGTGGAAGATGTTTTCGTGGACGTGGTGTTATTTTTATATTATTTAGTTCTTTTGGATATCGATTTACTTGTGATAAATAAACAGCAATACCCGTAGATTTAACAATTGCTCGAATCTTTCCCTCTTTATCAATCCACCACAGATCAAACAATAACGGTTTATTATACGATACATTTTGATTGAAAAAATCAATTTTAATATAATTAATGAATGCTTGAATAAACTTTGATCCTTCACGTTGATCTTTTAATTTTGGATCACATTCAATTTTAATCAGTTGATGATGATAATAATCAGATACATAATCTAATGCATGTTTAGATATTCGAAATGAGTTATCTTTAATAATATTATTATTAGTTGTTGTTGCTTGTGAGTTCCTATTATTGTTAATATTTGAATTAATTATCATTCGTGCATGAATTCGTTGGTCCTTGTCCTTATTAATTCGTTTTTTTCTTTGCCTGTTATAACTTATTTGTTGAAATTGCATGTCATCATCCTGATATTCATCTGTATATGGATCATCATTAAGTTGCCTGTGATTTGTCGGATGACCTTTTAAAGTTGGTGATGATGTTCTTTTTTCTTCATTATCATTATGTTGTTGTATTCTTTGTTGTATTTCAAATCCTTTACAAATAAGATCTTTCTGCATTGTAGACATGTTTCTATATGTTTCATAATTCATTATTAATCTTTTTATTACAAATTATAAAATTTTTTATATTTTAATATAATAAATAAGTCTTCACGTGACTCAACACGTGCACATATACAGATCGTATATGTGCTTGAAGTGTAAAGAGAAAAGTACGTCTTATCACTAACGTGTAAACAAGAGGAATGATATTACTTTTGTGAAACACGATCTAAAAGAAGTGTTGAAGTGTATAGGGGTAGAAATTTGGACCCACCCACCCCGCTCCCTCCCCCCACAGACGTGACAGACATCACTACGGGACCATTACAGATTGCTACAGAGGCAGTATCGCAAGCAAAGTCTACTGCTTGTTATTAACTAATGAGAAAACGTAGAAACATTAGTTAATTGACAGAAATGGTATAAAACTGATTATTTGTAGCAATGAAAAATATTAAAACAAGATATTTTTTCATAGAAAAATGAACAATTATAAACGCTATCACTTTCATTAAACTTTCAGTCAAGTTTCATTTTGCTTTTCTTGTAAAAAACGATATATTTTAAGAAAACTCTCTGGTCTCTACTCCTCACACTCTCTGTAACAGTGCGTAGTGATTGAAAATTGAGACATACGTTAATAAATTCCTTCATTCACAATATAAAAAGCTCCATCGTATTTCACATTTTTAATCCCGCAGGGATTGCGCTGAAAGCTTTTCTTTTTCTGTTCTTTATGTTATAAATGTTTATAGATATAATAAATACATGCAAACTCAATAAAAAGAAAAATACCTTGTTTTTTCTCGTTCTCTCAATCAATCGATAAATACGTATGCATATTCAGCTATTAGAGATATCTTACAATCGTTGATTATAAAAGTCAGTCACTGTAAAAAATAAATCGTATTTTTCGCTGTTCTCCTCTCCTTTTTTGGTGCTACTTTTTAACCTTCTTTCTACTAAACTTGTATGGGATTTACATATGCCTATCATTTCTAGTTTTTGTATGTTGACGATCTATCATTGTTACTTAATAATGGAACCGGTAATGGCTACTTTTACTCTTAAACAAGGACGAGACGTCGTGTGTTCTTATAGTATAATATCTTACACCCCCTTCTGTGAAATGTCTTTATTTCTACTCACCAGTCTGCGAAAGAAGTCTTTGATTAGAAATATCGACATATATTGTTAACTAATGACTATATACTTTGTTAATTCTAAAATAGATTAAATGTGCAAAATTAACGTAATAGTCACGCCAGAATTATAGAGGGGTGAGCGTAAGCTAAACAACTCGATAAAGGCATAATTAACGACAGTCGAGTTGATGAATTTGCTTGTTCTTTACATCTTTGAATTTTTTGACAGAAATGGATCACTTCGATGTAATTTACTTTTCTAGACTACAATGCTTAAATCTGACTCAATTTGGTACTTCATTGTATTGGTGTATATTTTTCAAACTACCGTTACTAGAGCAAGTCCTGCTGTCGATTATAAATTTACGAGAACAAACAATGACGATTTACAAAAATGTCTTTCATCGTCATTGCCATCATCGATACGCACTGTTTATCCGTGTAATACATTAACAAATCAAAATAGTTCTCAATATCAATGTGAACAATTCAATGTTATTAGACTGTCGAGTATTCATGACGGTCGAATTTCTCATTCACCTGCTGTTATTGTTTATGTATCCAATAGTACCGATGTTCAGAACGTGGTTAAATGTGCAACAAAACTGGATTATATCGTGAATGCATTGGCTGGTGGCCATAGTTATGAAAGATATGGTTTAGGGTCAACGTACAACAATATAATTATTAACATAAATGCCATTAATTACAAGTAAGGTTCATCGACATTGAAAGTCGATTCACCGGGCCCTAGACTGACGGAATGATGTCACAGATGTCCTTATGTTGTTTAACAAAAATGAATTCTGTTCAATGATGAGTTTAGGACAGATCATTGATATTTGCAAAATGTTGTGTATTACATACTAAAGATATGGGCGTGACCAGTCGTGTTGGTACCCCAAGAAGTTTATATTCATTTAACTTCAATCACTTATCAGAGAAACGTCAAATTTTTATCAGATATAGTACATAAGTAGTGCTAATGATCTGTCATTGTTGAAGGTCTATATGGCACTAGAAAAGAAGAGTTTTGAAATATGTTTATATAATCATTGTCTAGGACATACTTTATAGCTTGTTAGATTGCATATTATTCTTGGTGTGTACGTCACAGACGACAACATTTTTGTTCATTCTGTCGTGGTTTTACCATAGTCACAGTATTCTCGTTCTGACTATTATTTTTTTTATAAGTATACCCATTCTTCATTTGTCCTTAACACACTTTCACTTGATCATAAACACCTCCTATCGTCATATTATGCTCTCTCCACAAATTGAATGGAGTTGTTCTGAATGTGAATTCACAGTAGTTGATCGACGAAAATATTGTACTGATTGTCGTTCAATGTTAACATGGACATGCATTGGTTCAGGAAAATCTGGTTTATACACGCACTATTATCGTCATCGTGACAATTGTAATTATTGTACACCAGAACTTGAAGAAGAAAGACAACAAGAAATGGAAGAGAAACGAATTACTGTTCAACAACAATTTCAAGTTTTGGATGATAGTAAGTAATATTGCTCTTCGCAGTGTACACATACACCTCTTATTCTTTTTTAGATCAACGTCCATGGTCAGAATGGAGACGTACTGATGAATCATGCAAACAACATACAGGACATGATATTGAACAAATACAACAACTATATTCTATGTGCGAAGAATCGCTTATACGTTATCGATCTCATAGAAAAGAACGATATACAGACGATATCACTATACCGTATCTTTCTCCTATGAATTTACTTGTGGTTACATTATGGTATTTAAAACATTACCATTCTGAACGATATATTTCCACGGAATTAAATTTGGGTCAATCAACAGTAAATTATTTTCTGACAGAAGTTATTGATATTTTACATTCCTGTGTATATCCGGAATTAATTTCATTACCTGTCAATATGGCTAGTAAACGAATACCACATGGACCTGAGCGACATCATAAATTAATAGTCGATTCGACCTTTATTGCAATTCCTGAACCTTATGATTCAGATCAACGTAAAGCATATTATCATGCAAAAAGTCCAACAAATTATGCAATTAAAGTACAAATAGCTTGCGATTTCCATCATCGAATAGTACACGTATCCGCATGTTATCATGGAAGTGTACATGATATTACAGTTCTAAGAGAGTCGGGGCTATTAGAACATGTAAATGATTCTGTGCAAATTATTGCTGATAAGGGATATGTTAGCGAAGATTATGTAATAACTCCAAGAAAAAAACGACACGGACAAGAATTAACAGACGAAGATAAAAATTTCAATCGTGATATTAATAGCGCAAGAGCAGCTATAGAAAATATAAACCAACGTCTCAAAACTTACGGTATTCTAGGTGGTGTTTATCGAGGAGCGATTGATGATTTTAAAAAAATAACTAAAATCACACAAGTCGTTTCTGCTCTATGTAATATGAATTTAGAAAAACATCCAATTCGCACATAAATAGAAGAATAAATTGTGTTTTTTTTCATTATGATGATAGAATAACATTGCTGATATTTTATTTGCGTTTAAAATACGAGTTCTAAAGAAATACCTGAGAAATTTTTTTTTACTGGTATATAAACTTTTAATAAGGATAGATCATTAGCACTATATATGTACTATATCTGGTAAAAATTTGACGTTTCTCTGATAAGTGATTGAAGTTAAATGAATATAAACTTCTTGGGGTACCAACACGACTGGTCACGCCCATATATATATATATATATATATATAGATGATTTCGACAAACTATTCACAATGAATTTTTCGGTCATCTACATTCACACACACTGATAAATTCAACTTCACATTTCACGATTAATTAAATTTTTATTATATTGTTCAATAAAAATATTAGTAGGAAATTTCATTGAATAAAAGAAAACTAATAAAATCTAAATTATTAGAAATATCTTAGATTGATTAAATATAATGGTATATAGTTTAAATGTTATTGATAGCTTGTCAACAATGAATATTTTGAAGATAATGAGCTTTTACGAAAACTTTTCTTCGTAGCTGTTTATAGCCGTGCCAAGACCTTGTGGATAAAGAATTGATATCCGTTTTTTACGCAGTTTTTCTTCTTCATCACATAGAGCAAGCACCTTTTGAATTTCTTCGTCACTACTACCTAGTTTTCTGGCAACAGCATGAATGGCTTCCAATTCTTTTGGGTGTAATTCACCATCGGCGGATGCCGCCCGATGTGCAAAGTAGATGAGACTTGATCGAGTGGATGCCACATAAGCCATGTCTGTATCGTTAAACATCTTCTGAGTATCAATGGAAGTACCTGGTCGATATGCTTCAAGTTCCTTGATGAGATGTTCATCCTGTCCTAATTTATACAGTGAAATATATTATTGAAGAACAATGCCAAGAAATTTACCTCCGACAGAAGCCATACCCAATATATACTTGAGTTCTTTCTCGTGGAGCACCCCATCAGCTGCAGCTATATCAATGAGAGTTTTCATGTAAACCTGCGAACTTTTGTGATTGGGTCGCTGACCTGAATAGCCCACTAAATCCTGCCACCACCATTCTGCAACACGTTTATCACGTGCAGTTAAACTGGAGCTCATATTTAATCTATAAAATGTAATGAATAAAAAAAACAAATGTACATATTTCCTATCAATGTATGTTGTTTGTTTTGTATAATAAAGGTGAATATGAAAATAATGTCTGTCCTTTGTACGATATATTTTTATTCGCAAAAGTAGTCATGTGCAGTGTTGCTAGATCTTCCGGATTTTCCAGAAAAATTCCGGATTTTGCAAGTTTTTCCGAATTTTTTCTGGTTTCTGGATTTTTTCCGGATTTCGGCTTTTTTTCCAGATTGTTTTCGGATTTTCACAGATTTATGATTTTTTCAGTTTATCGTGTTCAGAGTAGGGATGTACCGAGACTGAAGGTTCCTTAATAAAAATGGGAATTTTTCTCCAAGAAGAATCCCCGAGACTCGACGAGATTTCTATCTAGAGTTGCTCAGCTTAATTTGATTTATATGTGCATATAACTGGACAGATCGATTCCCAAAGTAAAAGATTGAGTCTCGGTCAATTTCAGTCAAAAGATTGAAAAAAACGGAATTTTGACCGAGACTTGGCCTTTTACTTTCGGAATCGATCTGCCCAGTTATATGCACATATAAATCAAATCAAGCTGAGCAACTCTAGATAAAAATCTCGTCGAGTCTCGGGGGATTCTTCTTACAGAAAAATACCTATCTTTCTTAGGGAATCTTCAGTCTCGGTACATCCCTAGTTCAGAGATTTATAATTTTTTCTTATCAAAACTAGAATTATTGAAACTTATTCATTCTAATGAAAAATATTGTCCTAAAAAATAACGTGTAAATTAACAGCGAAATATGTCATTGATAATTTCTGATTTATTGAATTAACTATGTTTTGATGTGCATTTTCTATTGTTTCATTCAAATATATTTTGTGAAAATAAAGAATAATATTATTGATAATTTGATTAAGAAAAATGCACTTTAAGCGATCAAAACAGACCCTCGAAAATCTTTCCGGATTTTGAGATTGGAATTCCGGATTTTCGGATTTCGCATCTGGCAACACTGGTCATGTGTGACGCTCATCATCAACTAATCTACACAGGTTAGAGATGGGACCAAATGTGAGAATAAACACTAACATATACAAGATGAAAATCTAATATGAAAAAGTGTTCAGACTATGGCTGTACAGCTCACGCTTAAATGAGCGCTCATGAGCGTGAGTGGCTCCTTTAATTCTATTCAGACAGCATGCCAGAATATTATCAATAACTTTCTGAGATAGATTGGGGTACCATAACAAGTTCCTGAGTCCACCTTGGGTACGATTGTTAACTTTCTGAGGATTAAATCCCTCACATAATAGAAGCTCATCCTGTCTAAAATAATCACTAAATAAACAATTTTAAAAATAGGCGTGTTACATGAGAAAGTTGGTATAGTCTATCTTAAGAACGGCTGAACGTATCGAGCTGTCCACTGGTACTTAAGGGTTTCTCGACGTGCCCTTTCTTTTGCCTAGCGGACACTTTTGTCCGAAAAGCTCGGAAGTAGGCTTTCTAGAAAACTGTGGTTTTGGAACCAATGGGCGCGAAAGGTTTTTTGTTTTAATAGTCTATAATGATAGAGCAACCAATTCTCTACAAAATGAGATGTCTCTGAGCTCTCTACGACGTTTTTTGGTCGAGCTACATTAATTTTAGTGAAGAGCAAAAGCCATTTTTTTGTTTTTTCTCGGAGGAAATAGCAGAAAAAAATGGCTTTTGCTCTTCACTAAAATTAATGTAACTCGACCAAAAAACGTCGTAGAGAGCTCAGAGACATCTCATTTTGTAGAGAATTGGTTGCTCTATCATTATAGACTATTAAAACAAAAAACCTTTCGCGCCCATTGGTTCCAAAACTACGGTTTTCTAGGAAGCCTACTTCCGAGCATTTCGGACAAAAGTGTCCGCTAGACAGCAGAAAGAGCACGTCGAGAAACCCTTAAATACCAGCGGACAGCTCGATATGTTCAGCCGTTCTTAAGATGGTTCTCTCATGTAACACGCCTATTGCATAAAATAGCCCACTGCTTCTTAGTATGTTATTGTAAGTCACTCTATATGTCTAGTTTTCTTTACATTGCGTATTTTTTTGTCAACAGAAAAATGAACGTCTTTCAAATGTTAACAAATTTTTATGTATATGTCTTAATAAAATATAAGTTTATAGGAACTATTGAATAGAAATTGCGATATGTATAAATTTGGTAGAAATAAAAACGTCGAAAAAAAATATCGAAATCATTATTTATGGCCCTTTAGCACACACTAATCATATGCAAATGCAGGATATAGATCCTTCTGCAGATTATTCACGCGGTGTCGATAAATCGGTGTGCTGAAGCTGCATTAATAGCACTCTCGATATTTTTTACTTTCGGCATTTTTTTTTACCAGATTTATGCCATTCGAAATTAGACATACAATAATATCGTTCTGTTTGGTTTCTTCCTCTTTTAAGATGATGTACAACTAGGGATGTACCGAGACCGAGAGCTCGGTCTCGGTGCGTCTCGGTCTCGGTCAGTCTCGGTCTCGGTCCGTCTCGGTCTCGGTCAGTCTCGGTCTCGGTCCGTCTCGGTCTCGGTCCGTCTCGGTCTCGGTCTGTCTCGGTTTCGATCTCGGTCTCGGCCAGTCTCGGTCTCAGTCTGGGCTTGTCTCGATCTCGGTGTGTTTCGGTCTCGATATCATTGAGTTTCGTTATGTGACGTAGTGACACAAGTTTTCTTTACATGGATGAACATTTTTCTCTGAGGATACCCTATGAGACTTAAGGGAAGCTTCATTAAGAAATGTTCCTCTCGGCTCTATCTAACACTTTGCACAAACCAATAGCCCGACCAAGTCCAGGAATATCCGAGAGCCGATCAAAATTTATGTGTTTTTTAGCTTTTCAGCTAGACTGATGTAGGGTTATACCGAGACTGAAGACTCCCTGACAAAGATGGAAACTTTTCTCTAAGAAATTCCAGAACTTTAGGAGATCTTTATCTAGAGTTGCTCAACTTGACTTAATTTATATATACATACGAATGCACAGACTAATTATGAGAGTAAAATGCCAAGTCTTGGCCAGTCTCGGTCAAACAGTTGAAAAAAACAAAATTTTGACCAAGGTTGTCCGAGACTCGACCTTTTACTATTGTAACCGAACTGTCCAGTTGTATGCACATATAAATTAAGTTAAACTGAGCACCTATAAATAAAAATCTTATAGTCTTGAGGATGCCTCTTGGAAAAAAATTGCCTTCTTTGTTAGTGTACCTTCAGTCTTGGTACATCCATATCTACATATCGCTCTTTAGTAAAGGCAAGTGTGATATCAGCTTTAGTCGTAACGTCTAGAACTCGATGTGAATCTCACAAAGATTTAATTATTCTTCTTCGTATACAGCATAGGTGGGCAAAATTGTTTTTAAGAAGTTTAACGTATCTCGAATGGCAATTTTTTGTAAGTTGAAGCACTGTCTCAACTCTAAGTTATGAAACCTTCCACATCTAGGGTCAGGCAGTATACAAGTTATATATAAGATTTGGTATAAAAGAGAAAGATTTTATTTTTAGAATTTATTATCTAAATACCTTTGCCCAAAAGAATATGAAAGGAAGAAGTATTCATAAAAAACAGCATAAGTAATGTCTCTTTCAACCATTTATTCGGTACACATTCTCTTTTTTAAATTTAGTATAATGATCCACATATTGATCAATCTTCTAGCTTTATAATCATCCTTACACTATCTTTCATAATGGAACGATATCTATCGATAATAAATGTATGCTTCTTCGGTCCATTTTTTTCTTTTTTCTTTTGTTATCATTCTTCTTCTCATTCTTTTAAAACGAAAAAAAGCATTATGTAATGTGGTTCGCTGCCTCTTATTCCGTCTCATGTTTTTTTTTAGCTATTATGAAAGTACTACTGAGAAAAGAAGAGTAAAGATGTCATTGATGTGCGACGTTACATTATAAAAGAAGAGAGATTTCCTATTTTCTGAGAGACATCTTCTAACATAGCAATGCTGAAGGCAGATGGTCGATCGTACTATTGAAAACCAAACCAATACAATACTATTGTGAGTGAATGATGAGCATCTAACAGCTACAAGTAGTAGGTGAAAGTCGCTGCATAATGTAATCCTTCCATTATCATTATTATTTTTAACTAAAAACAATAATCAGCCATTTAAGTATGAATAATACTTTTTTTCCAAAGGAAGTCTATAAAGTGGAGACCAATGCAAGATATATTATTGTTTCGATAGAGGCTAGACAAAATGAAGCAGAATAGGAAGATTATTCAGAACCTTTAAGAATGGTTCTTTATGTGTCAAGATACCATAACCATGATAAAAACTAACGTCTGATTACTGTATATAATAGCACAACACGCGTACACTTCGATATATTAAGTTTTTCCATCAAAAATCAATTTTTGAAACTCCCTCACTAATAAGGTTATAAGGTGAAGATCAAAATTTAACGACACCATGAAGTGTACTGAGATTGAAATTTCATTGATACAGATAAAGATTTTTCGTTTTCAAAAACCGCCAAGACTCTGCAAGACGTTTGTTGCTAATTGATCACCTTACTTTCATCTAGCTGTGCGTACTAGGGGCAGCTCGATCATGAAAGAAAAAGA